AAAGCTGACTTTGACTTTGATTTTTTAAATGTCCTAATGTTTTCAAGTATTTCAGTAATGACTGGTTGAAGACAGAGTTCAGTTTGAATTTGTACATTTTACACATCCAATTTCATGTTATCTTTATAAGTCACAACAGGACTTTAATTGCACTCCTCTCTAAGGACTTTAATCCTTCTGTTCAGGCTGTCATTTTAATCATCTTAAAATCAGGTTTTTTTAATAACAATTCAATGCCAAAATAGCTGCAAATTATAGGAGGTCCCTTTTTGAAAGAGGGACACAAAATTCTCTTTGATACAACTGTTGCAAGCATCTGAGAAGGCAAAAGCTGTGGACTGTTTGGATGTAGAAATGAGGAAAATACAAAAGAAGGCAAAACAAAGAAAGAATCCTGACATTTAAGAATGATGATGAGGACAGTTGGGATGATGAGGCGGAGGATAATGCTCATATGTCATTTGGTGGGTGCTTTTCGTCAAATTGAGTGGAGAGCTTCGACTTGTTCGTTAGTTACGTTGGCAATGATGATAGTGATGATGAAGAAAGAGGAGGATGACAATCAAAAAGGATGACGACAATGATTACACGAAAACATTTCGAAAGTGTGACACCTCTCCTCCACTTATCAATCAAATGGTCAGGGTGAATGAAGAACTTGTGAATGGATGTGATCATGTGAATGAACACTGTATGCAATGACCATAGTCCACCAGTAGGTGTCCCTTTAATGTCTGCATTGTGCATTCCTGTCTTCACACAGTCCACTGCTTTGAAAGGCTCCAGTGCCCCCATAAATAAAGCTAATGTGGGTCAGTGACTTTCCTGCTCGTGGCAGCGAAAGCCCCTAAGCCCTGAACTAAAATCAGTTGATCCCAGTGCAGGCTCAGCATAGACCTTGGAGGCCTGATAAACTGAAAATGACTCAGATCCACTGAGAGTAAGATCCAATATGGAACAAGAACTCAGATTGTAGAGTGATACAAATATTCTCAGTGCTTTAAACACACTTTCCAGACTTCAAAAATACCAGGAAGAGCTACGCTGAAGAGGACTAATTGAACTAATTGAAGCCTCAAGCTGGCCATCATCAATATTATCTTCCTCAAAACCATAAATGACACTGATGTGCAGTGTCAGGTCCAAGATCAAACATGGATTTGAGACTGATTAAGCCTTAATTTACAAGCTCAGTTAATAAACCATTATTCCCAGCACAGCTCACTCTGAAGAAAAATAACAATTGAATGTTTACCCTGCTGATGTTAAAAGTGGGATGGAGACAGGCCAAATATTAATAACTATTTTCAAGCTTACAGATTTGTTATTATTGACGCGACGCAGCAGATGACATCAGGCTCTAATCTCTCAACATAGACCTTATTGAAATAGTTAGGTCATCATTAGGTCATGGCCCGTTGGTTCTGAGATACTACTCACATGAAAGCTCCTTCACTGTCCCGTGGCATTTAAGCTTCAGGGTTTCTTCGGATAAGATAAACACAGACTGTCAGAAATGAAATACAGGCCTGGTATTTTTAAAAGCTGTCTCTTGTGTTATGCGTCAGAGAAAAATGAATGAAAACCTTGTTTAACTGCACGCCCGGCTATCATCATGTCTTGAGATATCTTTGGACATGTCTTAAGACATCTCTTATCAAGATGTCTTGAGGCATATTGAGGAGCACCTTATTTGTCTAAGACATGTCTATAAAACTTATAGACAGTCATAAGATATACATAGGGCATAGGATGTGTTTGTAATGCTGATGAGGGACCTCACAGCTGCTTAGGCTTTTCCCTTCCTGTCCCTTTGTAGATATTGTTTACTGGCTATTTAAAAAATCTGCAGTGTGGTTTAGCCTTTTATAATGAACACTGTGCAAGCATCCAATTAAAAAGAAAAATGCATACATGCCACACAAACATCACTGAAATGTGTGCACAGAACTCACCCTTTACTGTACAAGAACAGAAGTCATTTGATGTGGTGTAGTATAACACGTGTTAGCATATTATCTATGTACTATATCTAATCTGACAAGATAACTCAATAATATATGTATAGATAGACCCATTAATTGGTTGGCCGATTAATCAGGCCCATTATCTGGCATTTTGAGATCATCTGCATTGGCCTGGGCTCACAAGGCCGATAAACAAAAAAAGGTCTTAGATCTGAAGTCAAGCTTGTCAGTGTGGCTACTGTGAAACAATGTTAGCACTCAACCTTGTGAGTTTTGTGAAGGTGGTGAAAAAGTCTCATGCACTCCTGCTGTGTCTTTTCTAAATGTTAACATGTTTCTCCCATCTGAAATGACAGCTATACGGTTCTAAAACCTTCACTGGCCAGAGTTATTAAATATATAGTAAGTTATAATGCAGTTGAATGACTTCTGATGCACTGTACCCCACTCTCTCTTAAATACCAATCATGTTCTGAAATCTACAGCAGAACCCAATGTATGTTTCTGTTTCATTAATTCATAAAAAATCCCTGTAAAACAACATGTTACTGGAAGATTACCTAGATTGTAAAGTGGATGAAATAGTATAAATATACTTTACTTTCCTTTTGTTGTGATATCAGCATTATATATCACCATGCTCTCTAAATATTGACCTCGGCATCGGCCACTGGAAACCCACATTTCCTGGTTGACCACTAACTAGATCTATATTCAGCCTGCTCGCCCATATACTGACAAACACTTGAAACTTAAGTGTTTTCTGATGAACTGAATATATTTAGATATGATATGTTGCTATATTACTGTGGCAGTGGGGACAGTTTTCTGGAATACTATTATGTAAATGATTTCATTGTGAATATGACTCATTTAATTCATAATGCCCATTTGATGTGCTGCTATACAATGCTAGACCATTTATAAGAACACGAAGGGGAGAGCCTTTACATAAAAGACTGACATGCTGTTACCGGGACTAATCAGCCAAGGCTTTAAAATAGTTTGCCTGAGGAAATATATAATGTATCTTTGTTTAAGACAAACCCAGAACAACTGCCATTAATCTCAAAGTTTACATATAACTTCATTCCCTCTCCCTTTATAAGCTAAATACACTAAGATATTTTATTTTTGTTGTTAATTGTATTCATTTAATTACTCTATTATATTATTTATATGGGTAAAGGCAGTAATATATGCCAGAGTCTCAGTAAATAATGCGAGCATGCTTTGAGGAGCTGCTCACACGTTAGTTTGGGGATTAAGTGCAGAGTTTAAATCCAAATGCTGTTTCAGAAGGTTTGTCACCCTGCATGAATATATTTTCTGGGGGAAAGGCTGAATGCCTGCTGACAGCACCAAAATACTGTTTGTCAGCATCTTCAAAACAGAATTATGAGCGTGACTTTTGCTGAGTGGACCCAAATCAATCACACGTGTCAAAGAAGCCAACTCCTACCTTAATTAAAAGTGACAGTTTATTAACGCGTTTATATTGTTATCTCCATTTTTGTCAATAAAAGCAGGACTCAAAAGGAGTAAGAGTTGCTCATTATCTCACATGTCACCTGACTGTACTTTTAAATAGCCTATTTATTTGTTTGCTTGGACAGTAGAAACAGATTTAAGTCCTAGTTTAACCAGGAGAAATCCCAAACTCTTACCTCAGACCACCTGAGACCAGCAGGTAGGGGAAAGTTCGGCAGACGTCAGTTTTTACACTTACAGTATAGTTTACAGTTTATAGGTACAGTAGTTATACAGCAGTTCTGTCACAGTGCATTTGTAGCCTATACTCCAGATTAAAACATATGACATTAAAGTGCATTTTAAACCTAATCTGATGGCTGATACATCCACATCAAATAAACCCTACACTTTCACCCTGCTTACTATCATGACCAGTCATCATCTAAAAGTCATTGCTTGCAGATCCTTTGAGTTTAGTGATGATGCAAACTACGCATCAGCAGACACACTACTATTTCCTTTAGTGGGGCTCTGTCAGGCTTGCACCGGATTCATATCATATTACTACCTGCGTGTTTCAGGGCTTTTTTTGCCTTCTGTCTGAGCTTCAGCATGTGAAATGCTTGGTCGGATTGAGGTCAGGTGACTGAATTGGCAAGTCAGAAACATTTCACAGTTTGGCCATAAAACAACCCCAAATTTCTTGCCATGTCTGTGTGTATTTGGGATGTTGCATTGTCCTAAAACAGGGATTGGACTACTATATTGTATGTATCAAAAGCACACTGGGAACACATTTCAAGCTGAAAGTGAGCATTTGAACCTCACCAGTGTTATATTTCAAATCCAATGCGCTGGAGGAGAGCCAAAAAAACATAAAGTGTGTCACTGTACACAGGCTGCTCTGCTGCCCGCACTGTGGACCGCTAACCAGTTGTCAAGAAAGCCTTTCTCTTTACTTTCACAACATGCGCCCTGACATGAACTGTGTGCGCGAGAGACCGACAGACAGAGAGAGGGGTGAGGCAGATGTAGGGAGGGGGGGGAGTGTGAAGCAGAGAGCTGATGTTTCCTGAACTGTGGTTGTGTGTCAGCCGATGTTTCCACCGAGCTCCGCGTCGTATTTCAGCGGGCCGAGCGGAGGGAGGAGCGGGGGGCTGGGGCTGCTGTTAACCGCTTACATTTTCCGATGCCTCTGCAAGCTGCTTTATGAGTGGAAGGAGGTAGAACCGCAGGAAGCAGAGACACTCCTTTCTCTCGGGCTGGTTTCGTCCTTTTTTTTTTTTTTTTACTTTGCAGACAATAACCGTAAAAGTTGAGACAGCGCACAGAACAGCGCGTTTAAAAGCACATATTGTCTTTATCAGCACTTTGGACGTTTACTTCTAACGGTATCTATCCTGAAGACACCAGTGTGCAGCCAGCCGGAATAAGGCAATGGCACATCCGGTCGAACCTTTTTCAAAGTATTGGTCTCATTGAAGAATGGCTGAAAATACCAGAGCTAATATAGACCTACTGGAGCTGTACTTAACTAAGTGCAGTTGTTAACCTGCATATTATTTGACATGCTATCAGCATGGCTCTCATTATTATGGTCTAAATGGCCCATAGCCAACAGAAATAATGTTTTATGTATCCAGCCACTATGGATAACTAAGCTATAAGATACATAGATACCATTTTGACTAATGTTGCCTAATCTAATTTATTAGCATATGCCTCAGATATCATACTTTATATAATAAAATAAAGTATAAAGTATATCTTATTTAGGTAATGTAGACATGATTAAAACGGACTGGTTAGTTCATCATGCCTGAGAAAATGAATGGATATAAAATGTGCTGAGCTAATTACAGCAAATGCATTAAATATAATTCAACATCTGCTGTACAAATGCATAAAGTGAGTTATTTTATACAGTCCTAAAAAACCTATTTCAACAAGGGGGAAAGAGTGGGGTGAGATTTTTTGTTTCCAATAGAAATAATTTTATTTATAGTATTAGTATCTTGAAACAAGACTAAATAAAGGCAGTATCATTCAAAAAAAATTACACTTGGATAAAAAAATAATGCTAAGGAGCCCTGGGGTAAATATTTGCTGTTGAGTCCCTACTAACCTCACACATGCTACCCTGTTGTCTCCGAATTCCAAGAAAGTCCAGTGCCAGCAGCCTGGAATAATAATTAATATTCCATTTGATTAAACACAACTTTATTCTGGAAAATACACCATGTGAGCACAATATACACCAAAACAATAAATCCCCTGACACTACTTTTTGACACAGGGCTGCTTTACAAGACAGAAAATGAACTAATAATGATGCAGGACCTGCCTTAGGTGATTGTTTTCACTTGGTATTCCCTCAGAAATGTGGAATTAAAAGTGTAGCTTTTTAGGCCCCTCTTGTGTGTGGTTTCAAACTAGCTTCAGATGAAACAATCCATCCCACTGACCTTTTCTTATGTGTTTCCTTATAAAAATAGATAACTAAGACTGTAATACATAAAAACAGACCTCTCTCGAACGTGACCAATTTAACACTCTTATTTTGAAGGCCGAAATTCTACGTTTCCGGTCGTGTGCGGCGCTGTTTGCCACTAGCTTAACCCTAACCCCTGATAGGAGGGGACAATCCTGAACTGAGCTCATTTCTGTCCTCACGTTCCCCGCCGGATAGAGAGTCCCCTGGTTCCGATGAAAGAAACTCGTAACACGGGGTATCTTTCATAACCCGGGCTAACCATCCTGCCACATGCGCTGACACGTCTCCAGATATTACACACATCCCGTCGGTCGGTCGGCGGGGGGGAACCTTTCACTTGGGCTGGTTTTTGACACATTGTGAGTACATAGACGAGACGCGCTGAGGGGAAGATGTTGCTGAAGGAGTACAGGATATGTATGCCCCTCACAGTGGAGGAGGTGAGTTTCCCACTATGTCTGTTTTGTTTTGTTTTTTTTACACTTTGTGTTTCATTCCTAAACCCGGCTGAGGTTCGGCGTTGTTCATGCGACTCTTTAACAGCCACACCGTTGAGGGCTTTTTGAGGCCCCGGACATGTGGCAGGAGGTCACATTAAGGGTGAGGATAACAAATGAGTACAAATACAGATGAAGTTCATTGAAGACTAAACCAGTCCCTCATGTGTGTCTTGCTCTTCCTCTGCCATCACAAAGTCTTCACTGAGGCGCCGAGCATGAAGTGAAATGTGACCACTACTTAAGGAAAGAAGAACTTCAGTAATCCTGAATATATTTTTTGGAAAGATGGTGAACAGAGGGTCAAGTGTCACCTCATAGAACAAAAAACCAATATCTGTTATAGGTATTTAAGAGTTAGTAAGATTAATTGGACTGATGATAATATATATATGGTCAGCACCCTCTCTCTCTGTCTGTCTGTCTCACACACACAATTACATGTACATTGCATTACATCCATGCTGCCCTTATTGGTAGTGGCACTAGGGGAACATAGGGATGACCCCGGCACGAGCACAGTGCAGAGCATGGGTCTCTGCACTCAGTGCTGTTTCCATAGCACTAATAGTTCCACTTGCATTGATTAATGTGAGAATGAAAGAGCTATTGTCTGTATTCAAACCTGTTTCGTCTCAGGACTCAGTCTAAAATTAGAAGGTGGAGATGAATGCTCTCTTGTCCTGGCATGCATGCTGTAGAGCGGAGCAGCACCTTTTTCAATTATCGCCCATGTCATTTGTTTTCTTACTCGTCTCAGTTGCTTGTGTTGTTGTTGTTGTTGTTGTTAGGAGTGGGTGTTGTTGTTGGTTTTCGTGTAGCTGAGGGCTGCACGTCAGGTGGAATAGTGGTCTGGCTGCAGCCCAGCATCTCCTCTGACATCTTGTCAGTTCAGATGTTGAGATGAGAAGCCAGATGAGGTTTAGTCTCCTCTGAAGAAACATCATGAAGCTTGAACGGCGGTAACAGCAGCGCCTTGGCCAAATAATTAGCATTTTTCACTTAAGCGAAGTTATTTTTAGAAAGGAAAGGAAGCTAAAAGAATCTCTTACACATCCTTTCACATTTCCTTCTCTTTTATCTCTTACCGTTGGTCTCCGCTAACACGTGTAACCTGCAGCTAACTGCGTCAAGTTTATGCCCATTTTAAGGACTGTTAACACGCATTCTAGGAATTGAGGAGATCTCTATAGATTTATGTGGAATCACATGCGTCCCTGCTTTGTGTTACAGGCTGACTGAATGGCTTCACATTTACATGAAATTCTTGCCAAGTGTAGGTTTAAAAAGGAACAATAAGTTGGCTTTCCCCCTGGCCACCAGGCTGCCAGTGCTATATTCTCTCATCACAAGCAGTGAAAAAGGCGTTTCACCACTGATTCATGCAGTAACCTGCCATCAAGAGGGAAACGGGGAGAATGAGTACGCCGATCTTCCTGCACATGTTCCTAAATACCTTTGCAGTGTGTGTGTGTGTGTGACATTGCGTGTGCGTGTGTGGCAGTGTGCATTCATACGTGCGTTTTCCGCTCAGTAAATCAACCTTGAGGCTTCACCATGTGTGTATTTGGTGCCCTGAGGTACTCCTCTGGGCACCAAATACACACATGGTGAGAGCTCTCTCGTCACGTCCATTGAACTTGTGAACAGATGGTTGTTATGGGAAGCAAGAAGAGTGTAATTAAAGGCTCAATCTGTGATTAAATGCACAGCACCGACATTCAAAATACAGGATTGAATTTCACTATTATTCCAAAAATGACGGCTGTGTTAATACACTGATTAACAGTAGATAATAAGTAAATCTAAGTTTGTTTATATACGTGAATAAATCATTTACCAGTCAATCCCTTCAATTGTACTACTGAATACACTTGCTTTATTTACACAGCTTCTTGACAATATAAAATGCTACAGAGGAAAACACTTTGTTCACAATGCAGGCCAGATGTAAACAGTGATATGCACATCCAATTTACGATTAAGCTAAACAACCAGTTCAAGCTGCCAATAAGTTATTATTATTTTTTTTTAACTGGTTATTGTCAAGCAGGTGACGATGAGGGTTCATGTGGATGTGTATAACGAAGCAAAACAGGGCACCCCCTTTGAACTCTTGAGATCCAATATCATTAGAAGTGAGGAGCATACACTACATCTGTGGGATTAGAAAAAAATTGGGTGCAGCAGATCGTGATTTGAAACGGCCACAAGCTTTAACACTGTACTCAGATTGTAACATTTGAAAAAAAAAAAAAAAGTGGATGGATGCATTAGTCTTACACATTTTAGCAAACAAGAAGAGTGGCCATCTATTACTGCTCAAATAGGCCCTGCACTTTGCTTCCATTTGTACTTTTTGCGAAGATAAAGCCTTGTTTGGGCCAGCAGGGAAGCGGGGCATTGTTTGTTGACAGTCCTAACTGAGAAAGAAGTCTCCCCTAATGTTCCAGCGGGGGAAACGTAGAGGAGGTGGTGGCTTGTTCTGTTGGTTCTTATCATGGCCGCACACATTGAGCTGAGTGTCATCCCTTGTCTCCTAAAAGTTGAGTCAAAGTTTCCTGTCTGTCCAAAGGGAGAGGAAGGGTGGAATGATGGAAGGAAGGGTGGGTGGATGGTGCAGTGAAGGATAAACTACTTGTGTGCGGACTGCTGAGGGGTTTTAGAGGACAGAAGGTGGTGGAGAGGACGGAAAGTTTCTGGGAGAATTTTTTTTTTCTTCTTTCAAATTCCCCAGGGTCATGCACTAATACACTGTGTGTGCGCGCTTAGATTTGGAGTCATGGGGACATGCAAGGTCACGTCTCTCTGTGTATTGTCTCCGGGAAGAGATTACTGTCTGCTGCTTGGCTGTGTTGCGTCATCACAGTCTTACTACTGCAGATGTTGGACCGACTATCCGCGCAGTGTTTATACAAGTTTAACAAACACCATACGCACTTATGAAACCATTTAGCAATACCAGAGTGTATGAGTTGTTCTGTGAGCCTTTTATTCTTTGTCCTCTTAATCATCAACTGCCTGTCTGGGTGTGTGTCTGGCATGTTTGTGCTTTTCCCTCCATTTTCTCCATTCACGTAATTTCCAGCGAAGAATTAGAACTAATCACTTTCCTTCTTTCTGGGGAACCTTGTGGTTTCTTTGTGTTAACGGAATAGTTTGATGTTATGCTTAGCCTAGCGTAAAGAATGGATACATGAGAAAACCGGGTGAAAGAATCCTCTAGAACTCACACATTTACATGTTTTATCTAAAAGCAAGTGTGAGAACAACAGCTTGTGGTTCTACGGGGGGGGGGTTGTTATCATCTGGAGTCTTGTTGCTACCATGAGGTTGCCAGGCCAGCAGCGGGGGCACCGGGAAGTCACTGCTCCTGGCCAGGAAATAGTCCTGGATATTACCAGACTAGCTGTTTCCCCCCTGTTTTTCTTTATTAAGAGAAACTAATCGGCTGCTGGCTGTAACCTCATATTTAATGGACACACGAGAGCTGTACTGATCTTGTCATATAATTATTGGCCACAAAAGAAATAAGTGTAGGGTATTTTACAAACTGTTGCACTGTTAAACACTTTTAAAGGAAATTCTGGGCCCCCCCTTTTTTACTGTGAAAACCAAGACAATAGGAAAGGCCCTATCTACAGCCAGTGTTTGGTTTGTCTTTTCTGTGCTACTGTTGGCGGTTCAACGTGGTGCACTCCATGGAAGGTGACCCGCTGTGTCTGTAGATAAGGTAGGTAACAAAAACATTAATCAGTTAATTGTTTCAGATGAGGTTCAAAGAAAGAGTCCCAATGGAAACTGCTCACAGTAAAGTCTATGGACAGCGTGGATAGATGTCACTATAGCGTTAAATGGATGAATAGTTTTTTTGTGTTTGACCCTAAATGTAGTAAGAAGGGCCAGGAATGGCTCAGTATAACCAAATCAAGAAATTCAGGTCTGGATAAAGTCTGTAACTTTCAAGGAGTTCAGAGACAGTGGAGCTTCTGTGTTTGAGTATTGGTTGAAAGTTCCATCTCAGACAAGATTTAGATGTAACCACTTAGCCAAGAAATAATCATTTTCCCTTCTCAGTCCCTTGGGGCTAACTCGGCTCTGTTCTTCTCCTGGGAGGAGAGCCATTCATCAGCCACCGCGCCCATTTTTTTCCTGGAAAGGAACGCGAGGTGATGCATCACAGGAGACACGGATAGATGTGTTCCTTCTCCTGTCTACCGTTATGTCTTTCTTTTCTGCAGTACCTCTCACTTGTACCTCCCTGTCTTTGGCTGACATGCCCTTTTTTTTTTTTTTCAAGCTTGTGATAAAAATGCTGACATCACCCAACCTTTGGCTGACCTGAGTCACTGTGTGTCTCCAGCAGCACGCCTGCTTTCAGAACCTGTATTTACTCTTAACATGGCCTCGGTTGATGAATATGAAGTTTTCATCCCTACTTCGACTTCACACGTGATTAGTCGATACCAATAGCAGGGAAATTCCACGATACTTGATTAGTGATAGACTGATTAATTAGGCTGATTATTTGGCATTTTGAGACTATCGGCATAAACCGATGTCTGTACTCACAAGGCTGATAAATGAAAAATGTCATCAGACATTTGTAGTCAGCCTTGTCAGTGTGGAGCAATGTTAGCGATGAGTTTTGGGAAGGTGGAGAAAAAGTTAGTTTTGAGCCCTTTACTATAACTCTCATGTATCCTGCTGTAAACATATGTCTGTATTTCCGGGAGAGTAGAATAGAATTGTTCATTGCTTTGCTTTGTTTTAATTTCAGGATTATATATCGGCCATCGGCAACCCTGCTCTCTAAATATCAGCATCGGCCATTGAAAATCCAATATCGGTCAACCACTATTCTTGATATCAATTCGATACCACGGTAAAGAAGTTTTTTTTTGCCCCAGATCCCCGTGTAATATCTGCTGATACCGAGTCCT